GTTTGGTGTGGCAGGTGCAGGCATCACATATGCATGTATAAAACAGATGTGGGTGCATTTGCTCACAGTCATTCAGACTTTCTGCTGACTCCCTCCCCCCTCCGTCATGGAGTCGTCTGTTAACACCCAGTTCACCAACACTCATATCCGAGGACTTAAGCTGTTGAATCGCAGGCAGATGAAGAGAAGCCACGGTGCATGTTGCGCCGCTACCCCTGTTACCTATATTTATTCTCTGTCTCGTCATCACTCTGCACAACTCTGTCGTCCACAGGCTTGCTGTTGTGGCACATTTATCTCTGTAAAGATGGGTTCACATAACCATGAAAGAGCTATTTTTTTGTAAGCCGAGCTGGACAGAAAGAAAAGAAGCAACGAGACTTAAAACGTCTCCCTCTGTTCACTGTGCACTACCGATACATATTCATAAAGCAGTTCTTCTCCTTTTGTAAAGTTTCTTTGATAAAATATTTTGACAGTGTTGCCTAATTTGGAGCAAGAGCAGAGGCCTGCACTGACTTGCTGTAATCTAAAACCCAAATACAAGCCGATAGTTACTGAAGTAAATCTTCCGTTTCAAAATACCTCAACATTTAACATCGATCATACTTCTCATTCTAGACTTTACGCCCGAATCTGTCTGGTCTCCGACAATGTTTCTAAGAGCTACCGTGGCTACTCCGACGTGTCAGGTCAAACGCAAGCTCTGTAAGCGGACGTGTTCTCGGATACCCAGAACGACCTTTAAGAGTACAAAACGTGGTTATCAGAAGGGTCATTATGGCCACTGCTGAAATTCAAATGCCTTTGGTCGATAATGATGCAGTATTTCCAACATACGCTCGTCAGTCACTCGAGAGCTGAGACATTTGGGGAAAATTTGTGTGACTCAACGCAACTGGAGTAGGTTCAGCTTTGGTAAATAATTCATTTATCATAATTTGTGCCTTATGACGTGTCAAATTACACCAAAGTGGAACGGACCTGGCTTTGATGACAGAATCTAAAAAGCTCATCCCTTGTGAATTTGACCTCAGGCTCACCCGGATTCCCCCCCACCTTCCCTCTGTTCTCGGCTGGTAAAAGAAACGCTGCCTGGTGTTGAGCTGGTGCCTCAGGGACTGATGGCGGCTGAGCAGCAGCCATGAGGGAAGCACACTGTCAGTCCTGTGATAGCCGTATGAGATTCCACATGCTCTGATGAGTAATTCCTCCCTCCCCTCTCCATCACCATGTGGTTCGTGGCCCTGAGTCATCGTCCACACTTTCCCTCACTCCCTATCCTCTTGTCTGTCTCTCTCTCTCGACGTGAAGAGGTCTCTTCCTTCAGCGACCGTCCCACAGGGAAACTCAACAGAATAGCCTCCCTCAGATGACTCACTCGCCAACATCGAGAGCTCCACACCATCCGCTCTCCAGCCATGACAGCCCACCACACCACACCCAGGCCTGGATCCCATGTCCTCCACGGCCCGCTTGCCTCTATCAGTGCGTGTCTTCTTGCCTGTCCTTTTCTGTTTTTCTGTCTGCCTGGTAGCCATTTTCTGTGTCTCTCTGCATAGCTGCTGTCTTGTCAAGATGCTTCATTGTTTACCTGTCTTTACACTCCCATCTGTCTGCCTGTATTTCTACCAGCCTGTACTGTACATCGTCATATTCTGAAATTGTTTTTGATATGGCTTCATGCTTGTCAGCTTGACGTATTTGTCAGACTACCTGCCTGCCTGCCGCTCAGTCTCTATATCTCAGTATGTCCCCTGATACTCCAATGCAATGTCAAAACACAGAAGGACACCCAGCGTCGACTTCCCGTCTGCATATTAAACTATAAAGACTGGCACGACTGTAATGGTAATATTATTCAAGTCTGCCGAAGAGAAGCGTTGGATTTGTTAGTAAATAGATGCTTTTGATTTTGCTTGTGCAGTTCTCAGACAGTTGTGCATCCACAGACATGCAGTGAAACTTTTGACAAAGGTTACTGCACAACTGCAGATGGTATCCTTGATTTCACGCGTTCTGCACTTCAAAACATATTGTGATTTCTATGGCTGTTTGAACTGAGGTGAAAAATCTCTGAATGTGACCCGTTCGCATGCACTTAATTGCGCCTCGGCCCTGCAGTGTGACAAGTTGCTCACGGGAAGCTGTTCAAAGATCCTCTACATGCTGCAACAGGAGATTTGTTGACCATTGCAAGAGCAATAAGGATTTTTAGGGGCATTATGACTGGGTTAATAAAACACAGCTGCCCCTAAAAGTCCCTCACTTTTCTTGCTGCCTTTTCTTTCTCTCTCCCTCCCTCCCTCCCTATCTTTGTGTCTCATTCCAAACTTTTGAGATCAAACTACTAGTACATTCGCTGGCTTTTTCAAATGCGATTTGGTGCATGACTCCGGTATCTGTTCAGCCCTGGCTAAAGAAATGAAACAACCTGAAGTGACCACCGTGTCTGGAGTTTGACCTTTTAAAGGGGCTGGGTCATATATTTCACGAAACTGAGCATGCTTTCCAGTATTTATGAATTGTATATTTATAATGGCAGAGTTTTATTGGGATTTGCAGTGACGTTTTTAAAAGGGAGTTGAATGAGTTCAGAGCAGAATTTCCGAGAAGGAGGCCTCCCTGTGTTCATTACAAGTTCAGCTTTCACAGAAAGCATAAACACAATCCGAGGCCGTCACCTTACACAGAGTTTTCTATATGATGCACACGATAACATACACACGCGCTGACTTATGTTCGGAGAGCAGTGAACCCAGTGACCCAGAGCAGAAAACAACCTGGGAATTGTAGGAAAAGTCTATTTAAAGTAAGTCTACAACCCTGCCAACAAATGGTGAGGAGAGAATATGAGACAGCCGTGGTGGAAAAAAAAAAAGATGTAAGCAACACTGTGCAGCAAGTGGTGAGATGAGTCCGATTGGACCTTTTAAACAATGTGAAATGCCACTGAGAGAGGCTTGGCAGGCGGCAGCAGCCAGCACTGTTTAATATCACAATTTTAATCAGCACACTTGGTGACTATCCCAGAGCTCTCCGTAGCCATGCTGCTTATTCAAACCAGGCTCGTTCCACCAAGCCTCCCTTACTAGGCCCTCGGCTCTCATACTCACACTGGCTTGTACTCTCCTGCAGCATATATGGAGAGCTCTTGGCTGGAGTGGTTTTATCTGTTTTCTGTGATGTGTCATTGCACTGTAGTGTGCTACGTTGGAGGGAATCTGTGATGATAGTTGAGCGCATCTCAGCGAATCTTAGGTGGACTAGACACATTTAATGTGTTCTCCCGATTGGATTTTAAATGTACTTTATAGCTATCTGATAAGAGCGTGAAATAGTTCTATATGTAACGCTGCCAATTAGCATTAGGATGCCACAATGAATTTCATTAGAACGCCCAGAGGTTTGCAAGGTGTCAACTTTCCAGTAACTTCAGTCCACAGCTACTTATTATAGACGCAACGAGTAATGGCAGGCTTGTAAACACAAATGGCCTGCCACTGATCTGTTATACGCAGCCTAAAAAACAACTCAGGTTCAAGTATTAAGAGTTTAATAAATAACAGTGACAAAAAAGATCAGCGTAACGACATCCCACCTACTGTGATGTCAGCAGAGTTTGCTCCATTTACAGGACACTTTTAAGTGTGTGTTAATAATCATGGAGGTCTTGTTTTCAGCAAATGTCTTACCTACGTGTCGCTTGCAGCACAGAGATGCCACCACTGCCCTCGGCTCTATTAATTACATAAAGCATCTAGTGTCAGGATGCTAAATTCATTAGTGAGGTATGTACGGCATGCTAGGGTCAGGACAGATATAGAAACAGGCCTCCAAAACAACTTCTTCACCATTTGACACACTTGTTCAACATAATAGAGGAGGCCACTTTAAGATTTTTGACAGCTCTGCCTGTTTTATTGAGATGCGTTTATGTAGAGCTTGAGCTTCAAGTTTCAACAGTAAATTCTGACTTGAGTGCTCATATGCATTTATTAGTGCTTTGACTGTTGCTATACACCTACTTTCTTTTCTTTTGAGGGGGGGGGGGTAAACAAAAACTAATTTGGCCCATTTTGGAAGAAAAAACGATGGGAAATGTAATTTGTTTTCAAAATAATTACTCACGAATTGTACAGCTACATGAGAACAGTGGGGGGGATATCAGAGGGGTTTTTGTCTTGTTTTTTACTCCAAATTCTTCATTGTATAAATCGGAAACAACGTCTGCTCTCGGTTTCTGGGTACACTTGACACGCACTCTTTTTTTCCGGCGCTGTATGTAAAAAGTTTAAGCTTGACTAGTCAAACACCTTTTCGCCAATAATTAAACAGTGACGTTCACTGTTTGATCTATAGACATATTCAAATCGTTATTTTCACATAACATGACATGGTTTTTTCTTTACTTTTTAAAATACATTCGTGTAATTTTCTTGTCCATAAACTTTTAAAATTTAACTAATGTTCGCGTAATTTTGCCTGGAGTTTATATGTGTAGGGATTTCATTTATGGTCACGTTATGTTAGTGTATTTTTTCCCTCAGTTTCGCCATAACATTTGCACTAATTATTCTGGGTAACTTTAAGCTATGTGTCTGCTTGCAACACAAAGGGTTTACCTCTGCTTTAAAATGCTGTCTGTTCCCTAAGGTTTTTTCTTTTCTTTAATAATAGATACATAGCCGAGGTGTATTGTCTATGACTTGGGGGGTCACATGAGCCAGAAACTGGGACTTTGTAGGCCAGTTGAATGAAATGAGGACTCACCTTGCCCGCAAAGACCCAGCCTCTGACACACTATCATCAGTCCCGTCGCCGGGGACTGCATGAGGAGGAAACTCCAGAGGTTTACATACTGAAATATCTCTCGACTGCGCGATTTCACTTTCAGAGCAAATAAGAGAAGATTTAATCTGCGCCTGTTCATACATACCCTCTAATCTGCTGCCTGTCGGTGTTCGAAGAAGTAGGCGACACCGTCGGATTGTAGTTACCTGTGTACCGGGCAGGTGTTCGCATCCCGTAGCCCATATGGAGACCTCTTCACGTAATACGCGCCGACTGTCTGGTGGGTTTGTCTGGCTGCCTGGAGGAGATCGCGTCTGCATGCGAAGTTGAACTTCACCGTCCATCCACCACCAGCACCACCGCCGCCCAAGTAATATGTGATCACTTGGTGTTGCACGCATCCCAAATTGAGCAAGATTATCCTTTTGGGGGGGTGGGGGCCGGGAACTGTCTTATGGAATAAGTCGGACAGTCCCCCTGGTCCATCTTTTTTCCTGTCTGTCCAAAGAGAAAAAACATGCAGACGCAACAGTGTCGAGCCTTGTGCCAGTCTCCCACCTCCCGCCCTCCCTCCCTTCCTTCAAGAAAAAAACGAGAGAGAGAGGGAGAGACAGCTTTTGCGTTTCCCAACGAGAGATCCCCCCGTGCGCACCCAGCCACTCACCCAATATCCATTCTGGAATGGGGGGCGGGAGAAAAAGGCACCCTGCTTGCGCCGCTGCCGTGCTGCAGCTTTTCTAGAGCAGGATATTCCCAAACAGCTGGAAAGAGCTGATATATGGTGCTGCGCCCTCGTGTTGGGCCCTCCCCAAAATGGACCGGTACTAAGTGCTAACCTGGTTATTTTCAGCGCGTCACTGGCTCGTTTCCAATTATAGGTTTCCGACAGCGGCACAGCAAAGTGACCCCGTAGTCTTTACTACACTGCCCGAGGACCTGAAAACGATCGAGCACCACATACAGAGTAAAAACCCGAGCATGTGCGTTTGCTTCTGAACTGCACACATTCCTGCGGTGCGTTGGCTTGCCCGTCCACATGCGCCACAGAGGCCCCCGCGCTCAGCTGCGGTGTCCGGCGGCTCCGCGGCGGCTCGTCTGCGCCTCTCTCAAGGTGTTCCCCTTTTACCGATGCTGTGCGGGAGGCTATATACATCCCAGGTTCATCACACCTCTCCCGTTACCTCCCCGACCGGCAACGCGTTAGTGTGCCGCGACACCTGCTGGCTGCAGCGCGACGTGACACTTCATCGTTCTGTGTATGTTTCAAATGTAACCTGTATTGTTTCACGCAGATCACCGATCACGTGTCGCTCCACAGCAGGTGGTAATTACGGCGTGACAGCTGGATTCAGTCCGTGGCTCCGTTAAGTATTTTCAGTGAGATCGTGACGGGTGTGTGTTTAGTTATAGTGCTCTGTGGGCCATTATTCCAGCCTCTCTGACTTCATTTACTCACTCTGGTCAAATATCTGTTGGTATTCTCTTCAGTTCATCTCATGTTCTTTGCGTCTTTTGCTTCTGTTTGTTCTTTCGTTTTCAGCTCTTTTGCAGTTAGTTATATTCGTTTATTTCGTTATATTTTTACTATATTGTTTGATTATTCTCTCAGCAACATTTCATTCTCCATTGATCTTTTACATTTTGTTCTACATTACTTACACACAATAGTCTATATTACATATCACATCTATTTGACGTGTGATAGGCCTACTATATTCTATATCTCTGACATCTATTATATTTTCAATAAATTGTATATAAATATTGTATTTTCTATTACATTCAAGTTTTTTGCATAATGTGAAGGAGTACTGTCTTCATTTTGTTTTGATGACAGTAAAGAATACTGAATCTAGTTTCTGAGGTTCAGAGGTTAAGGTTTGGTATTATCATCGGTGCCTGATCAGAATACATGAACACTAAAGCATTAAATTATAATCCAGTGCTAAAATGTTTATTTTTAGTTGAAATATGGTTTCATTAGTGCCATGGATTGCATGAGAAGTTGACAGGACGTGAGGAAAAGGGTTAATAAGATGTTGGAGCAGCTCGGTGAGGGTCAAGAGGTCACTGGACAACCAGCTCTCCATCACAGACAAACTACCTCCCCCTCTCCTACTGCACAATACGGACCGAGACACACACACCCCTCAAACAAACTCAATCAAACCAACAAAAAGAATGAACGGGCAAGGAAGTCATACCCACCCCTCCCAAACAAAACAGAAACTAGCCCTCCTGTGGGGACAGACAAGCAAACCACACAAAACACACATACCTCTATATCAAACCTCCTTCCTGTTGTTTGTCAGACTTATAGTGTGCATGGTAATGCCATTTGCACTGCTCTTTGCTGGAATTGTCTCTTGCACATTTTCAGTGTTATTTTTTTTTAATTTAATCCCACTTATACTGAAAATCCTATTCTCTCAATGTTGCATAAAAAACGGCACTCCCTTGCATCATAAGGCCTTTGACGTGTGGCTGTGGTACTTTCAATAATAGTGGTTTTATTGTTAATTTCACTGTTATCATTATTATTATTTATGGTGCTGCTGCTTCTGCTGCTGTAACACACCGAATTTCCTTGTGGAAGTATCTGTCTTTCTTTCCGTTACTACTGATGGCTCCAGATTTTTGGTGAGATGTGTATTAGAGGAAACGGTAATTAAAGGGCAGGAAGTGGGATCAAACAGGCTGCAGCCCTGATGGAGGACTTCCCTTTAAGTACAGCTGCAGCTGTTCTCATGCTGGCTTTGTACATCTGATTTGTCCTTTTTTGCCCCTGTGTCGTTTTTAATGATGAGTTTGAATCTTGTGTGAAAGTTTTCAATGTTTGTGCGTGATTGTAGTCTCTGTTCTGATCATTTATTCAGTTCTGTTGAGTTCTACTCGGTCCTGAGCTCATGCTCCACTTTTAGTCTTGCTGCTGACGCTCCTGTGTGACGCCCTCACAAGGCATCAGTCAGCTGCTTCACCTCACTTCAAAAGCCCATAGTAATAACACCGGAAATTGGAGGATTTCTTATCAAAATAAACGTATGACCTGACGCTCGGTACTAAAGAAGCTATTATTAATAAGAAAATCAATGATAACTTTAACCCGGTCTATTCAGGTGTTAGAGCCTTTCTCCAATAAATATATCTGTTGCCGTGGCCTCATTCCCTCATTGAGTTTTGCTATTATCGATTTAAATAGATAACTATTTAATTTTAAAGGTTCGGTCCGGAAGCGATGCCTCCGATCGAGGTGGACTTCTCGCCAACCAGCAATGACCGATTTGGTTCCTGACAAGAACACGCAGGTTTGCCACATAAACAAGATAATTCATTACTCCAGAAACAGCAGGACGGATGTTCATCATCGGCCTCATCATCGCTGTAGCATCTGACACTTGTCGGTGAGTTTTGGCTCCGTTTCGGAAACGTCTTCGTCGCGTTAGTGTTACAGCCTGAGCGGTTTGTGCGCAACACAACAACACGTCCCCCCTCAAACTGTGGATTAGGCGTGAGGTTTGCGAGGTTACTGATCCCACAAGGCCAAACGCTGTCATGCTCGTAATGCCAAGAATCCAGTGGGTGCGTGACGTCATCGCGCGTTGGAGTAAGGTTCGCGTTGTTTTCAGTAAAAAGTGCGAAAAAGATACGAAAGTTTAAAAAGGAATATATCAGTAGTTGATCGTTTTTGTGTCAAGAGTTAAAAACTGGGTTAGTTTCATCTGTTAAAAGAGTCGTTATCTGGTTATTTCATTAGCAAAATAAAAAAATATATAATTTAAAGTCATCGCTTTTGTTTCAGTGAAATAAAAATCACGCAGTAAATGTTTAATTTTTAGCTGTGAGTTGGTAGAGTAAATTATGAAAGTTTGTACTTGAGCACAGGGGGTATTTATCTATCAGCATAAAACATGTTGATGGTTCCGACTTAATCCTTAAATTTTGGAGTTTTGTTTTATTTTTGTTTTTATTTTATTTTATTTATTTTTCCAATTTCATTTTAGACTTCATGTGGGGCATATTTTTTTGTGATTTTCTTCCTTTTTGGAGGTAATAGAGGCAACCCAAACACATGCGATATCAGTGGAAAGCAAGGATGTCCAGGATGTAGTAAGATATCTCAAATAAGTCAAAAGATAGAGACCAAGACGAAATGTCCATTACAGAGGACATAAATGAATAGGCTGGTTCTCAGGAGAATATATTAAAGTTCTCTGTTGGATACAATAGAATGCAATAATATCGAAAAACAAATTATCATTAATATTATACAATTATGTTTATTCTGAAGTTAAAAAGCAAATTGTCTTTATCATTATTAAATTAATTTAAAAAAATACAGTAATTGCATGATTATTATTAACGTACCTCAATCGCTTAAACAGAAGAGTTTCACTTGCAGACAGCTATCCATCCATCCATTTTCCTTGTCTTATCCAAGTGGATGTGCATGTCTTCCCACTCCTTTTCAGATACACAAACTAAATCTGAAGGTGTTCTGAATAAATTAAACAAAACAAAATTCAGGGTCTTGGTGTGGCTGGAGCTCACTCCACAGGTGGACAGGTAACCTGTGTGTTGCAGGCTAAAACATAGACTAGCATTTACACCTTTCTTTCACCTTTATGTCTGTGGACTGTGGGAGGAAGTCCAAGTAGCCAGAAAGATCCCACACAGGCACGTGGAGAAAATGCAAACTCCACACAGAAACCCTCAGATTTTTCAGTAGTTTGGTTTATTTAAAACCTGATTTGTGTGATATTTTCTGTTCGTGGCTGTAGAGCTTTAACTGTATTTGCCGTTTCACAGGCAGTCATTATGCCCACACATTGCCATCTCCTCGCTGCACCATGTGTCACCCTCTTCTCTTGCTCTCTCTTTAGTGCAGCAGGGGCCAATAAGCAGCGGATGCGGTGGGCGTCCAGCTGCAGGCGGCCCTCTCAATGGTTTCTCCCACCATGAAGGCGCTGGTGGATGCCGTATGGGCGGTGTGGAGCATCGGGGTCTCCATCTATGACTACATCCACACCAGTGCGATGGAGGAGCGCATCCACGCCTTGGAGAACGTCATCACCATCCACCAGTTTGTGATTGGGCTGTTGTCTGCTGGCGTGTTGGTACTCTTCACCTACATCTTCTTTAAAAAGCTCTGAAGATGTGTGATGTGGAGGGCTGGGGTTGGCATGTGGGAGGTGATGTAACCAGAATTTTGGGTACATTAGAAATGCTCACAGGAGTCGTGGTTCTCGGTTTTGGTGTTCATGGAAGGTACGTTAGTATAGTTTCAGGTTTTTCTTTGTGTTTTTTGGAGGGGGAACACATACAAGCATATATTGTATTTATTCCTAAAATAAGAAAAGTGCTAGAAATGTGGAAAACACTAAAGATCATCAAGATATTAAGTTCATTTTTAACTGTTTTAAAATGTGGTCCAACTTTTTTTCCTAAACATGTTTTGTAGGTTAAAACGTGCTGAAGTACACGCCTTCTAATAAGCGTCCAACTATTTTTAAAAGGCTACAATAGATTGAAGTTGAAATTCATCTGCT